CTAACACTTTCCTTGATAACTTCTTTTTCTAATTTAACCTTCTGGAGGGCGGACCATAGATTCTCTAAGCTTTTAGGAAATAACTATTTCCACCCGTCCAGGAGAACAGTAAGGTGACGGACCGCCGTCAGTCACTGTGACAGCTGGATTCTCTCCGGGGAATCAAAAAGCTGAAAACTGTGTCAGGTTTGGCCCCTTCACGCCAACGGGGAAACCTCACAGTGTGGAAAACCACGCCTGGTTTATCCACCTTCAGAAACTCTCCAGACGGAAGTTTTATTCTGAAACCTGGGTTCCAGTCGAGGCTTTGCCTTTTATCTATGGCTGGACGCAGACCCAAGCAAGTCTGAAAACACGCCTTGGGGTTCGCTGTTGATGATCTTGAAGAGGGATTCTCCAGCAGCACCCCCGATACCTGGCAGGTGACTGAAAATCATCTTTGATGTAAAAATCTGGCTGTGTGTGACCTCGAGGTCGGGCAGACGCCGATTAGAACGCTTCGCCCTTCTGGTTAAACCACATTATTTAAGATAAAGTATAAGAATGCTAACATCTTTCTTCCTCCTTTTCCTTAAACTCTTCCTTGCCAACCCTAAGATAAACAGCCTCAAATGTCTGGTATTTAACATCTAATCTGAGGTTTGTGTTTCTATTTAAGTGTGGTTAACAGTTAAGAAGTTAAAAGCTTGTTATTGTTGGTCCCAAAACTTTTTATAGGAAATTAATTGTTCACAATCAAGTGTACTCTAGTGATTCTGTATGATACGTAAAATAAATTATCACAATATTTATGGTTCAAATCAACATTCACTAACTGAGGGTCACTTCTTGTGTCCATTCACTCACTAGAGGAATGTTTACCCAAAATAAAAGTGATCCCTTGCTAAATAAATTACTCTTATAACCTTGTTAGAAGAAGTGCAAGACTGAATCCTTACAGACCTTTGACCCTTGAACCTGACTGTGACAGCTGTTAACACTGTAATAAACCAACATGAAGATGTGATGAAATTTGATGGATAATTTGGAAAACTTTATATGATTTTATTTTTTCAGACAAGATCATACATTCCTTTACAAATTTGTTTATTTTTTGTGTGTTTTTTATTTATTTATTTATTTGTTTATTTACAGCTCAGACAGACCTATGGAAATGTCTACAGTCTGTTCCTTGGTTCTAAACCAGCTGTGGTCATCAGTGGGTTGAAGGCCATGAAGGAGGCCATCTTGGTCAAGGCCACAGATTATGCTGGTCGACCTCAGGACATGTTTGCTAACGATGTTTTTCAGCGCAAAGGTATGTTCATAAAAGTTACTGTGGGAACATTTACTACACTACAGAGAGGAACCATTCAGTCTGTTATCAGCTCACAAGTTATAAGTCTGCCTCTCTGATGGCATGGGGCTGTATTGATGTAAATAAGGAAAAGTAACTACAGATTTTATAACAGCATCTACTCCCATCTAGTAAAGAAAAAGACCCAGGATTGCAGTGGTGGGAAGCACTAATCTAAAAATTAGTTCCACTAGCCCTAAAACACTAACTCAAATATTTAGGTCCCCTAATTCTAAAGCACTAAAATAACCCAGTCAACCCATGAACATTCTTCAACAGACAACATGAGTCACATGTTGCTCTCTTAATACTTATCATTGACATTCCACAGCTGGATTTGAGTTCATATAATGTAAAGAACCTTGGTGTTATTTTTGATCAGGACATGTCTTTTAACCCCCACATTAAAAATGTTACCAGGACTGCCTTCTTCCACCTGAGTAATACGTATCACTGAAATTAGAAATATCTTGTCCAAAAATGACACGTAAAAACTGATTCATGCATTTATCATATCTAGACTGGATTACTGTAATRCTTTATTATCTGGACATCCAAAAACCTCTTTCAGAAGTCTTCAGTTGATCCAAAATGCTGCTGCTAGAGTTTTAATGAGAGTTGTAAGGAGAGATCATATTTCTCCAGTTTTAGCTTCTCTCCACTGGCTCCCTGTCAAATTCAGAATAGAATTTAAAATATTNACACACACACACACAAACACACACACATCCTTGTAACTTTATATTAATTTCCTTTCATCTTAGTAACTATTTATTTCTAACCCAGACAGTTTTCCTAATCCTAACCTGAAACAACCTAATCCACACCATACTGTTAAACCTGTTAGAGAAGCAGGGATTAATTTGTTTTYATGCTGACATTWTTTATTTTTGTTTGTGTGTTTGTGTTTAGGCAGATCTGTCCACAGCTCCACACCGACCCATAGAGGTGAGTCTGACTGAATAACTCTGTTTAAACAGTTGTTTTAAGTTGCATCATCACATTTGTGTCCTTTCACCTCTGTGACAGGAAATATAGTTTTTTAACATTAGTCTGTGTGTTTGTGTTTGTGCACTTGTTTGCCTGGACCATTCGCAAAACATTTTAATAACATTAAAGTYGGTCTGATATGACCCTCTGGTTGGTATCAGAGACACAGTTTGATCCTGGTTTAGAGTTTACTTAACAAATAAGAGTTTTTCTGCTCATTTAGGAGACTGCTCCTCCTCTTCAGCTCCTCTGACTTGTGGGGTTCCCCAAGGCTCTGTTCTAGGCCCTCTGCTTTTTAATCTTTATATGTTGCCTCTGGGGTCCATTTTTAATAAATATAAGATTCCTTTTCACTGTTTTGCTGTAAGGTAAACCTGTCTATCAAGCCAGGTTTGATTAATTCATTGAAACCCCCTCCTGAGCTGTCTGAATGACATAAAAATCTGTCTGAAGTTAAATGTCCTGAATCTAAAGTAAAGTAAGACAGAAGTCCTCAGCTTTGGTAAAAACATTTCTCCTGACAGTCTTGGTCCTCTGGCTTCATCCAGCTGCTCTGCTGTCAGAAAGTTGGGTTTCATTTTTGATAACGTGTTTAAATCGGACAAACAGATAAACTCAGTGGTTAAATGGAGTTTTTTCCAGCTAAGACTTATTGATAAGGTGAAGCCGTACCTCCCAAACAAAGACCTGTAGAAAGTGATTCATGCTGTCATTACATC